GGGGGGGCTCAGCCTGGAGAAAAGGAGGCTCAGGGGGGACCTTCTGGCTCTGCAACCCCCTGACAGGAGGGGGGAGCCGGGGGGGGGTCGGGCTCTGCTGCCAGGGAAGAAGGGACAGGAGGAGAGGGAACGGCCTCCAGCTGTGCCAGGGGAGGCTCAGGTTGGACAGGAGGAGGAATTTGCTGCTGTAAAGGGTGGTGAGGCCTTGGCAGGGGCTGCCCAGGGAGGTTTGGAGTGCCCAGCCCTGGAGGTGTCCCAGGAAGGCCTGGCCGTGGCACTCAGTGCTCTGGGCTGGGGGACAAGGTGGAGACGGGGCACAGGGTGGGCTGGATGTCGTGGGAGGGTTTTCCCAGCCCTCGGTGGTTCCGTGGGTGTGTTTGGCACCGACCCCCTTGTCCCCTCGCCCCGCCCCGGGCGGGGCCGTGACCGTATCCATGTCCGTATCCATGTCCGTGCCCATGTCCGTGCCCATGTCCGTATCCGTTTCCCTGTCCGTATCCCTGTCCGTGTCCGTATATATGTCCGTGTCGCTGTCCGTATATGTGTCCCTGTCCGTATCCCTGTCCGTATATATGTCCCTGTCCGTATATATGTCCCTATCCCTGTCCGTATCCCAGCCCGTGTCCCCCATTCCCGCATTCCCGGCCGGAAGCGCGCAGGGCGCGGGGAGGCGGAAGCGCGCGCGGGGCCGCGGCCCAAAGATGGCGGCGAAAACACAGGGCGGGATCCGCCTGAGCGCGGTGAGTGCGGGGGGAACGGGGCGGCTCGGGGGGGGAAGGGACCTTAAACACCGTCCATTCCCACCCCCTGCCACGGCCAGGGACACCTTCCACCCGGGCAGGGACACCTTCCACCCGGGCAGGGCGCTCGCAGCCCCGGCCAGCCTGGCCTTGGACCCTCCCGGGGTCGCTCTCTCAGCGCGGGCGCCGCGTCGCTCTGAGGGGACTTGGGGCCTCTCCCGCCCCCATCCCGGCTCGAATCGTGGAAAATCAACTTCCCCGGGCTGGGCCGGGGGCCGGTGCGGGCTGGGGGCGGGTTGGGAGTCGGGGCCGGGATTCCTCAGCCCGTGAGAGCGCAGTGACCTCTAATCGCGAACTCATAACTCCAAATCTTCGCCTCTTGTGTTGCAGGAGGCCTAATTACATTTTGACTCTGATTGCCCTGAAGGGCGATGAGTGTTCGCGCAGGGAAACGCTGCTGTGTTGTGCTTTTCACCACTGCTGTTGTCCTTCTGTGGTAGTTGGTCATTGCCTTGTTTGTGCTGATACAAATGAAGTCAAAGCGATTTTTCCGTTGTTTGGTGAAACAGGAGGTTTTTTCAAACCTTTCTGGCTTCAGCCCTCGAGGCCTGTAAGTCTCACCTACATTTACAAACAGCCTGGCTCGTCACCTTACTTAGAGAATAGTGGAAATAAGCAGGAGCACTGCAGTAAGTAACTTTAAATTAAATATTGGAGTGAAAAAGGTACATCAGTATATTCTCAGCACTGCTTAAACTGCACAATCATTTAGGGTGAAAAAGACCTCCAACATCACTGAGTCCAACTTTTGACTGAAACTATATTACCTTAATATAAATGTATATTACCTTAACATAAATTTATATTACCTTAACACATAAACTTGTATTACCTGAATATAAATTTGTATCACCTGGGTATAAATTTGCATTACCTGAACATAACTTGTCATGATTTTAGAGGTGAGTTATAAACATCACCTGCTTGAAGTTCAACACTTGCACTTTCGTTTCAGGCCTTTAATTCCTGTGTTGGAAAGCCACACTCTGGTATTTTATTAGGACAATGTTCTGTTCCCCCTTTAGTTAAAGTTTTTTGACACGTGATTTGTCTCCTCTAGGAGAAAAAAAAAAAAATTATCAGCATTAATAATCAGTGTTTGCAAAACAGCTGCAAACATGAGCCAGAGTTTAAAATGGTTCTCAGGTTGAAATCACCGAACTCTTAGAGGTGCAAGTGAGGCATTGAGGCTGAAGCTGGTGCTCTTGCTAACTTTCTGAATTATTTTTAGGCTGCTCTTTGGTTTTATCTGTCCCGGGGGTAGCTGAGAATTTGCATTCCGTGGGTTTCCAGTGAAAGCTGTGGCTTCTGTAGGTTTTTTGCTCAAGTGCAGCAGCTGGGACAGCTCTGAACAGGTTTGTGAAAGGCTCTGTGACCCAGAGAACCACGGGGAGAGCTGGTGGCCACAGGCTCTTCTGCTCTTTGGAAATGTAAAGTATTTCCCAGAGTTTCAGAAGCACGAACAGCACAGGCAGTGTGAGGGCCTGGGAACTCATTCCCACGCTGGAATTCGTCTCCTGCCGTTGCTCTGGTAAAAGTTTGGGTTGGTTGCAGGATGAGTCAGATCAGGGAAGTGATCCAGGTTAATATTTTAAGAGTGGTTTTTAGTTTGGATCAGTCCCCCACTGTGGTTCCTTGCACGGTCCTGGAACTGGGATAGAGCAGCTGGGAGGGAGAGGAAACTTCAGGAAGTTTTCAGGAGGAATTTGTTGCTGGAAAGGGTGGTCAGGTACTGGAAGGGAGGTTTGGATTCCCCATCCCTGGAGGTGTCCCAGGAAGGCCTGGCCGTGGCACTCAGTGCTCTGGGCTGGGGGACAAGGTGGGCATCAGGCACAGGGGGGATTTGATGGGCTGGGAGGGCTTTTCCAACCTCAGTGATCCTGGGATTGTCATTTTGGAGAGATAACCTGTTTACTCTTAAATATCTGCTGGTTATACTTGCATGAGCTGCTCCTGTCAGGGCAGTTTTTGTTTTTAAAATATGCACAGTTTGAAGGAGGGGGGGAGGTTTGGTTGCATCTCCAGAAGGAGTTTGGCTGCTCTGGGTCTCGGGAGAAAGAACTGAGATTACTAAACAAAACACAATTAGTAACAAAGTGTATTGGCTCAGTGGGCAAAGCAACTGGGTTGTCAAAGTGACTTTTCACCAGGGGACAAACTCTTAGTGAAGCTCAATTATTCATGAGCTGAAGTGGTGTGTTGATGAATGAAGTGGAAGGGGCCAAATGGGCTGAAATATTTCCTGGGGAGTTCATCAGGAATTAGGGAGTGGTTGCTGACAGCTGGGTGTGCTCTGAAAAGTGCAAAAATAATGGCCTCAAACCCCTGGGCTGCATTTTTTAAACGTGGTGTTGCTGTGTGCCCTCGTTTCAGTGCCTGACCTGCTCAAGGCCAGGTTGGGTGGGGTTTGGAGCAACCTGGGCTGGTGGAAGGTGTCCCTGCCCATGGCAGGGAGTGGAGTGAGATGCTTTCTGTGCACATATAGGATTTGCTTCCTGGGGAAAAAGGGACTTCTTGGTGGTGATGTCAGTGCTGGTGACACTGAGGTTCTTTCTGTCCTTCCCCTGATGGTCAGGGGAGATGGTTCTTCCTTTTTAGGAAGAATTTCTCGCTGGAAAAGGTGTTCAGGCCTTGGCAGGGGCTGCCCAGGGAGGTGGGGGAATCTTCATCCCTGGAGGTGCCCAAGGAAGGCCTGGCTGTGGCACTCAGTGCTCTGGGCTGGGGGACAAGGTGGGGATCAAACACAGGGTGCACTCCATGATCCTGGAGGGATTTTCCAGCCTCAGTGATCCTGTGACATTCCCAAGTGTGGGTTTGTGCCTCTGGCAAAACCACAGCCGGGACTTTTTTTTCCAAGTCCGTGTTGCTGAGGTTCTGATGCTGCAGTAAATCCAACATTCCCGGTCTGCCTCCTGGGTGGTTGGGGTTTTCCAGGATTTCAGCAGTTGCCAAATGCCTGGATGTGTGTCCCTGTGGTGGGTTGGGGTTTTTTCAGTGTCTGTGGGTTTGTTTTGACAAGAAGGGATTTCAGGCAAAAAGAAAAAAAAACCAACCCCACCATGTTTCTTGTGTGTTTTAATCGTGAAGTTTATAAAAGAGAGGAGCAAATGCCACCAGGGAATAAACACAGGGATCTTGGGATCCACTGAAATGGCAGAGGAAGAAAGATTTCAAAGATCCAAAGATCCTTTGAAATGTGAGGTTTCCACTAAGAGCTGACATGAATTTTTCTTTTGCAAGTCTCTGTTGGGGCTCAGCGGAGCAGGTTTTTGTAAAACTGGAGTTCTAAAGCCCAGATGGCTGGGGAAGGACGTGCTGTCTGTTCTCTCTCGTGCTCTGGCTCCCGTGGAGAAATGCAGGGATTAAGTTGCAGTTGGAAGTGTGTCATGTGCTCCTGTGACCTCGGGATCGGGGTGACACTTCTTGGCAGTTTACGTTGATCTGAAAACTAGTGCTGCTCTCACCCTCCTCCTGCTCTGGAACCTGCTCTGGAATTTGCTTTTAGCATTATTCCTTTTCCCTGGTAAATGAACTTGGAGATTTGAAGCGCTCTCGCTTTTATTTAGACTTTATTTATTTTTTTACTTGTTTTATTTGGACTTTGTTAGCTACAGAAAAGTGGTTGTCGGTGAGTAGTTCCGTAAAAATTATGAATTATCGATCTGTACACAGTATTTAAAAATAATCTTTCTGATTTTATATATATAATAACGTGGATTATATTCTGTTTTTATGTAACTCAGAGGTACAAGGACTATTTTCAGTGGGGTGTGTTAATGATGTTGCTTTTCCTGCCCTCATCAGGCAGTGGGGCTTAAGCAAATCCTTGCAGTGGGTTTGTGTTAAAGGCCCTGTCAAAGTGTAACTGCACTTTCCCCAGAGATAATGCAAACACAACCACTGGTTGCAGCTGTTACAATTGCTCCAAACACTGCATGGACAAGTCCTTAACTTCCATGGATATTTAGTTCTGCTTTTCCTAGTTTTAGGTCTAGGGGAATATGTGTAAATCTGAGTTACTTGGGAGTGCTTTAGTCACTGAAATCTATAAGATACATCCCATAAACAGGTATTTTATTTGCATGTTCTCATCCAGTTCTAGTTGTAGTTGTGCCTTTGGTTGCTCCTGATCATAAATGAGGGTAAAATGTGAGAGATCAAAGTGCTGAAAGAGGGTCTGAGAGGTGATTTTGGTCCCTGTGGGCAAAGGGAGCCGGGACAGGGACAGTAAATCACGGAGGGTGTTGGGTGCTGCTCGTTGTTCAGATCAAGTTTTAATAGTCCTGACTTAAGAAATGAGTTTTTAACATCTGAGAGCGTGTGCTGCTGAGGCTTTGGTGTTTTCTGTAACCTCTGGCATCATTATAGAGCAATAGTTATTTTTAAAAAGATAAAGAGGCTTCGATAGGATGACAGCGTAACCCATTCTCAGAGGATGGTGGGAGGCTGTGCTGAATGTCACCTCCAAGAGCTGTATTAACCATCCCTTGAAAAGATATTAATACACCAACATCCAAAAAGCAAATTAAGTTACAGCCTTTTGTAGTGTTGTACAAACCAGCTTCATTTAGGGTTCCTTTATTTAACCTGTTTTCTGGCTCGGTGTGGTTGGGGAGCACAAACTGATGCCCTTGTTTGTGATTTCTTTCAGCTTTGCCCCAAGTTCTTGCACACCAACTCCACCAGTCACACCTGGCCCTTCAGTGCAATTGCAGAGCTCATAGGTATGTGGACCAAGAGCTTGAAATATTTTATTTTTCTTGTCATAAAACCTTTTTCCTTCGGGCAGGGAGGGGAAGAAGTTGCTCCTGTCACCACTCAGAATTTTGCAGCTTATTTTTTTTGTGCACTCAGGCTGCCTTTTTTCTTCCCTGTGTTGGTGATCTTCTTGCCTTTGATTTTGAGTAGCAGCAGTTAACTGGATACCTTCAGTGTTCCTCTTTTCCACAGGTAGAGAATGAGCAGCAGATTTATTTAACTGGTTCCTCAGAATAAAGGTGTGGCTTGGGAGGACTTGCCAAGTTTATTGAGGAGTTTGCTGCTGCCAAAGGGAGCAACTCCTCTGGTCACACATTCCTTCCCTTCCCGAGAAAATGAACCTAACAAAAGAAAATGGGAGTTTTTTTACCCAGATAAGGCCAGAGCTGCCACAGAGGAGGAAACCAGAACCACGTGGCCTTGGAAAGGACTGGCTGTTTTGGGGGTAACAATATGTTATTTCAGTTTTTTAAACACCCCAAATACTTCCAAGCTGTCAGTTGTACCTGAAATGTCCTCTTTTGTTGATGCTGAAATATATTTTATGAAGTTTTTCACTGTGGATACAATTGGTACTTAATGTTTGTGGGAAGGACCCTCCCAAGCTGTGATTCCTTTTTATGGGCTTGAGCTGTTTATTTATTTATTTATTTATTTATTTATTTATTTATTTATTTATTTATTTATTTATTAACCCTCAGCTGAACCTGCAAAACAGGCAGTGAGGCAGCTGTGCCATCACATCCCACCCCTCCTTCTGCCTGTGCTCTTCCCCCCCCTCAGGAATTCCAGGATGAGGGGATGGGGAATGCCAGGAAGTGGTGCCAGGGCAGGTGAGATTTGGAGCTGCTTTGCTGCCAGGGAAGGTTTGTGCAGCCCCTGTTTCTGCCTCGCTCGTGGCAGCTCTTTCCCATCCTGTCAGTAGAAAATTGAGTCTGGAGCACTTTGTAATTCCCTCTGGGAGAGCCACCCCATGGCTGGGAGAAAGTAAATGTTGCACCAGCTGCTCTGGGGGCAGCAAATGGAAGTAGAAACTTGCCTTGGTTTCATTTTCGATTCTCATGGCTGAGCCTCCACCTACATTTTTTTGCCTCTGTGTTCCTGCAGATAATAATAATAATAATAATTTATAACTGTATATAATAAATATTATATAATAAAAATACATTTTATAATGACATAATTTATAACCATCTGTAATCTCTGTGGAATTGTGTGTTGGGTTTTGGGTGGGGTTCACCAGGTTTGGGTGCAGCTGTTTCGCTGTAACATTTTGATTTAAGTAAATTTAGAACACTGAGAGCTGAAGCACTTCAAAATATGTTCACACTCAGACTGTTTAATTTTTACCTCTAGTATCCCAGCCTTTTCTCCCTCCTTTTCCTGCAGATAATGCCTATGACCCTGATGTAAATGCAAAGCAGATCTGGATTGACAAGACAGTCATCAACGACAACATCTGCCTGACGTTCACTGACAATGGGAATGGGATGAACTCGGACAAGCTGCACAAAATGCTAAGGTGGAGAACCCCTTTCTGTAGGAATTCCAGCTCCTAGTTCTGTTAGTGCTCAGCTTATTCCTTTTTCTCAGATGTAACTCGCTCCTTTGGGTCAGAAACTCAACATTTCTGAAGGGCAGTGATTGTCCAAGTGAGACTCCAGAGCCTACAAATGCCACAGAAACTTCCACACAACTTTGTCACAGAACTTTGATCTCCTAATTTCCTTTGATCCTTTCTCTCAACCTTCCCCTTTAACTTCCCACACACTGTGCAACCTCTCTGTAGGGCCCATTAGTGGAGATAAAGAGAATTATTAATATTATTATTATCTTTACTTTTGTTTAGCAAACAAGAAAAAAGGGAGATTCAGCTCAAGCCCCTTTGGAATATTAATAACAGAAGGTCTTGTGGGTAATTTAATGAATAATAATATGACTTGTCTATTTATCTTTAAATATTCTGTAGGGTCTGGACTGATCTTTTATTTCTACAGTTAATAAAGAGGCTTCTGTCCAACTTCTCCTTTAGGGAGAAATATAAATCTTTTAAAAGATTGCTCTACCTGCAGATTTCAACTTGAGCAAGGTTGGATTCAAACAGTTATTTTTGTGTTAGGTACCATCATTAACAGCTTGCTAAATTCCATGTTCCATATGCAGTTTCCTGGTTTATTTTAAGTGTAGTTACAGGTGAGAAACTTGAGGATCAAACATTTTCTGGCAAGTAGAGGGGGAAAAAAAGAGGTTTAGGGGCTTTTCTTAGTGTTTGTCTTGAAGTTAATTATTAGAATCCCATGAGAATGCTTACACCTAATTCCAGGCAGATGATATTTCTGTTCCATGCTTAAAAGACAGAAGCAGATTTTCCTGTGGTGTGACTTCCAGGATTTTCTTCTCTGTCCGTTGTTTAATTGTACAGGAGTCCCTGATCCCTAAAACAAATCCCTGATCCCTAAAACAAATCCCTGATCCCTAAAACGAATCCCTGATCCCTAAAACAAGAGACAAACTCATTGTATTAAGCCTAATTCATTGTGCTGGTTTAAAGGCAAACCAGCAGGGGAAATGAACCCAACCCAAAAGAGAGATTATAAATCAGAATAACAATTTAATAAAATAATACTATAAATGCAGATTATACAGACAAACAATTGGTTTTAACCCACAAAACCCAAATGTATAACCCAGCACCCTGGGGCATGAACACAGTGGTGTTTGTTGGGCCCCCTGAGTCCAAAGGAAAAGGAGAGGGGAAAAACCTGTTGGTGAGAGTGCTGGTGCAGTCTGGTTGAAAAGTGGTGGTTGCAGTCTGGTCAAGAGTGGTGGTCTCAGTCTGGTTGAGAGTGGTGATCTGCAGTCTTTCCTCTGGATCCCACGAGTGGTTAAAGTCCCAAGACTCCAAGATTATTTATCCTCCAGTTCAGGCAGGAATGCCCAGTGCCTCCCTCAGGGTGGGGAGTTCCACAAAGGGTATGAGGACAGGAACACCCTCCTGTCTCTCAGGCCTCTGAACACCCAGTTTACAGCCTGAGGAGTCAGGGGTGCTCTGGGCAGAGGGTGTAAATGGTTCATTGATACCAATTTCTGGGCAATGGCATGGAAGGCTCTAGAATACCCAGTTTTGGGTTACACCCACATAGTGATGAGCTGGTCCCAGCTGTTCTGACCAGGACATTCGTCAAGTCCTGCAGGTCGGGGGTGTCAAGCTCCACAGGGATTTTTCCCGCCCTTCCCACGTTTTCCTGCGTTTTGCAGCTTCGGCTTCAGCGAGAAGTCGGTGATGAACGGGCGGGTGCCGGTGGGGTTGTACGGGAACGGCTTCAAGTCGGGCTCCATGAGGCTGGGCAAGGACGCCATCGTCTTCACCAAGAACGGCGACACCATGAGCGTGGGGCTCCTGTCCCAGACCTTCCTGGAGGTCACCAAGGCAGAGCACGTCATGGTGCCCATCGTCACCTTCACCAGCCAGCATATCCTTCCAGCAGGTTCTGGGGGTGGGGGGGGGGGGGTATCCCCGCAGGGGGGCTGGGGTTTTGGGGGGGGGGGGGGGGGGGGGGGGGGGGGGGGGGGGGATATCCCTGCAGGAGATCTGGTTTTATGGACTGGGAGATGGGATTCGTGAGGTGCGGAGTGAAAGAGGCCGTGGCATGACGGTCCCGGTGATTAACCTAAGAATCTTTAAGGTCTTATAGTTTATCCTGACTGCTTAAACTTTGTAACTTTGAAACCCTTTCCTGAACACTGCTAAAAAAAAGTGGAAAGTAAGACTTAAAGAGTCAGCAACTTGTGCAGTTTGAATTAGTTTTGGAAGCCATTACACTCTGGAGAGCTAAATCAAGAGAAAATGGTTTTAGTGAAAGTAGTCTGAGTCTGATCTTTAACCAGAGATGGATGATGAATCCTGCCACAATGAGATATGAAAATACACTCTAGAAAACTGAATTAATCAAAGATTTTTTTAAGCAGAAGTTTAACTAAGACTGATGTTGATGTCTTGTAACTATTTCAAAGACTATTTAAGTAAAAGAAGTTTAAGTTCCCTTTAACTGAAGATTAATGTCGATGCCTTGTAACAGTGAAATGATTGACTGTCCAGGAGGGGCTTGAGGAGCTAAAGTGTATAAAAGCTCAGGAAATCCTTGTTCATGGAGGAACTGTCCCCAGCACTGCCCCAAAAGAATTGCTGGCTTAACAGCATCATGCTGTTGAGTTTGAGCTCTTGGAATCAGGAATGAGAAGCCGGGAAGCGAGCGCGGAAGTTTCCCGACGTTCCGAAAGCTGGAATTCGTTCCAGGCCGCTGTCCTTGACTCAGTGCCCACGACAGATCAGCGACCCAGCAGAATCCAAGAACAGCCTGAAGGCCATCCTGACACATTCCTTGTTTTCCACTGAGGAGAAACTGCTGGCAGAGCTCGATGCCATCATGGGGAAAAAGGGAACCAGGATTATCATTTGGAATCTTAGGAAGTAAGATGAAGCCCAGTCTCTCCTGTCTCTCATTTAGTTGGCATTTTCTTTCAGTGGGTGCAGACATACAGAGGGGTTTGGTTTTTAGTGGAATGACTGGATATTATATTAAATAACTGGGTGTTTGGGGTTGATTTTTGGTGGAGTAAGGCTGAGGGCACTAACTGGGAAACTGGACTCCAGCTGGCATGAAGGGCCATGGTACTGTTGCTTTTGCCAGAAGGAAAGTTGAAACAGATAAATTACAGATCTGTTCCCTCAGACCTCTGAAATTATGAATGCAGAAATCCAGACACAAAATACTTGACTGTACAGGCAAATAACACTGGATTTTAAAGCTCAGAGCCAGCAGTGTCCTACAGGGATCTGGACCTCTCTAAACTTCTTAATTGTTTTATCATAAAATAAACCAGCAATCTGAGCAAGTAAATAGTTGTGTGGATTTATCTTACTTATCCACTTACCTCTGTGGGATTGTTTCCAGCATTTTATGGCCTTGACTTGTATGGTGATGCTTTTATGTATTTTTAAACAGTTGTAGCAGTGGCAGTTCCCTGTTTAGAGTTAAGTTATAATTCATTGTCACTTCACTTGTATTCCTTGGATATCCCAAAGGAACAGGTGAACTTTGTGACTTTTGGTAAATATGGGAGGAAAACCACTATGGATCAGAGGAATTCCCCTTTTTTCTTTGCACTTTTGGGATACCCACCACCACATCTTACCTCGTATTAGCTTTCCCCCCCCCGTAATTAGTGTATTTTTCAAATCTTATTTCTTAGAGATAAAAATGAAAAACCAGAGTTTGACTTTGACAAGGATAAATATGACATCAGAATTCCAGAAGACTTGGATGAAACGGGCAAAAGAGGATATAAAAAACAGGAGAGACTGGACCAGATTGTTCCAGAAAGCGACTACTCCCTGCGAGTGCGTATGAGATGGGTTAAAACTGCCTTTATTTTTGGAAACCACAGGGTTTATGCTTTTGATTTTAATGTCATTTATATTTTGCAGGCTTACTGCAGCATTTTGTACCTGAAGCCAACCATGCAGATCATCCTGAGAGGACAGAAAGTGAAAACACAGCTGGTTTCCAAAAGCTTGGCCTTCATTGAGCGTGACATATACAGGCCCAAATTTCTGAATGTATCCTTTGCTTAATATTTCCATTGTGGTATTTTTGTTTGGGTTTTTTGTTTGTTTTTTTTTTTTTTTTTTTTGGTAAAGTCAGACTGAGGGAATTAACCTAAAGTTCCAGGACCCAGAATGAGCACTCAGAGTAACTCTGGTTTTTTATGTTACATGAGATTAAACAGATTTTTTTTCCTTAATATCTGGTCAAAGGCCAAAACGGTAAGAATTACATTTGGATTTAACTGCAGAAACAAAGATCATTATGGAATAATGATGTACCACAAAAACAGGCTCATCAAAGCTTATGAAAGAGTTGGCTGCCAGCTGAAGGTAAGAAATCAAGGCTCCAAAATATTTTAACATCTTGAGGAATAATTGTCACTCCAACGCTCATCTTAACAAAGGGTACAGATGGAAATGAGGATATTGATGTGTCCTTCATAAAACCACCTTTTCTAGTGTGTGCAGCTGTTAAAAATGGTATTAAATTGTATGCACTTGATTAAATGTTTGGGTTTGAGGCTGTTTGATACCCAAAATACTGGTCTGAGCATATCTCAGGACAAAAAGAGGGGTGGAACAGAGGATTTATTTTTTTTTTTTATTTGAGGGTTTATATCAAGATTGTCTCTTTGGAGAGGAGTCACAAGCCAGAAAATTCTTTTTTTATCTATTGTATCTCTAGTTAATAATTACCTCTGACAAACTCCTGCAGTATTGGCCTGGAATGTGTGGGGGTTTTCCTGACAGACCTTGGTTTCTTGCAGGCAAACAACATGGGGGTCGGTGTCGTTGGGATTATTGAGTGCAACTTCCTCAAACCAACCCACAACAAACAAGACTTCGACTACACAAATGAATACAGGTATTTTTGTCTGGGTTTCCTATCCAACAGTGCTGCTGCTTCTCTAAATAGGAAGAATGAAAGCTCGTGGGTACTGAGCAAACCTGGTTTACATTCAACCAGCTCCTTTTATCCCTTTTTCTTGTGTACCCCCTCCTTCCTCCCTGCTCCTCCTTCCCCTACACATGTTCTCAGCAGTTGGCAGAGTTCCCCTGACCCTTTCCAAACATCCCAGACCCTCAGGTTTTGCATCCTTAGCAGTTGCAAAATCCTGGCTTTCCAGCAGTTTCTTGATAATTAGTCAATTAGTGTGACTGAGCAGGTTTGGTTCTGCTTATTGTTAACACTAATTGGTCAGCTTTGATGACCCTCTGGGTTTATCTCCTTGGTTTTTCTCATCTTCCCAACTTTTCCCACTCCACATATCCCTAGCAGTCAGTGGGACTGACCAGGCTGGTTCCTGTCACTTCCTGCCCCAGCAGTCAGGTTTGTCTCTCTGCTCATTTTGGGGCTGCTTTGACCACGTGCCCATAGAGGAGGAGACACTCTCTTCCCACATGCCCTAACACTTCCTTTTCATGTGGATTTGGAAATTTAGGATACTGACCTGCTGACTAAAGCTGGAGATAATCCTTCAGCACACATGGATTTGGGTTCTTTCCCAATGGGTGTTGCTCTGGGAGAGGACAGGTTCAGTCTGCCAGCAGAGCCCTGAAGTTACTATGGAGTCTTCCCAAACTTCTCCCTTGATTCTCTCTGTACGTTGAGGTGGAGCTGCAGTGACTCCAGCCCTGCATCCCTTTGTCACTGACTGTGGACAGTTCTCTCCCTTTTCTCTTCCACACAGAGTCAATCAAATGTGGAGAGTGTGTTGTGTTGTGTGAGGAATTGATGCCAGAAACGGCACAGAATAACTGCTCAGAGATGAATTTTTGACTTTAAGCAGCAAAGGTATTTATTTCATGCAACGTTGGGGGACTAGCCAGTTAGCACCAGACAAACCAGCTCCCAGGTTCTCAGTGAAAAGCCAGGTAATTTATACAGTTTTCATGAGAGGTTACAACATCTTCACATACATATTAATTTGATTTTGACATCTAATTATCATATTCATAACAGGCAGAGTTGAGGCAGAGTCTTCCAGAATCGTCTTTTGGCAAGATTTTCGGGTGGTCATTTCTTCTCTTCTTCCTCACTTGAACTTTTCAACTTTCTTTGTTCACTGACCTAGTTTCTGGAGCTTGCAAAACTCCCCTGACTCACGCCCTTCTTATCTCCTTCAGATGCCCACCTTATCTTTATTTATGACATTTCTGCTATCTCTTACTTCAGCACAGTCAGCAGAACAGAACAAGCCGTCTCTGTTGTATTTCAGCGTAAGCAGAGCTTCTCCCAGAGCCTGGTACCAACCCTGTCCTAGTTAATCCTTTAAAACCTTGCTCTGTTTCACTCCCCATCCTTAACTCCCTTGATTCTCACTGTACACTGAGGTGGAGCTGCAGTGACTCCAGCCCTGCATCCTTTTGTCACTAACTGTGGACAGTTCTCTCACTTTGCTCTTCCACATACAGTCAATAAAATGTGGAGAGTGCGTTGTGTTGTGTGAGGAATCATCATGGAATATGTTCCCTGTGTACCGACCACATTCCATGCAGGAACCAGCAACTGCATTTCATAGAATCATAGAATCAGCTGAGTTGGAAGGGACCTCTGAGATCATCAAGTCCAACCCTTGATCCAACCCCGCTGTGGTTCCCAGCCCATGGCACTGATGCCACATCCAGTCTCTTTTTAAAAATCTCCAGGGACAGAGAACCCACCACTTCCCTGGGCAGCCCATTCCAATGGCTGAGCACCCCCCTGTAACTTCAGTTCTATCCCACCTTCTGTTTCCATGGGAATGTAACCTCCCCTTTCTCTGGTTTCCCCCCCAGCTGTCTTCCCCCACACTTGTCATGTGGGCACAGGGATATACCACACTTGCAAGGGCTTCTCCAAAGGTTTTTCCTGCCAGGAGTACTCCAGGCTTTCAGAAGAGAACTTTCCAGCCCAAAACATAAGCACGGACCTGATGCTGTCATTTCATGGTGGCTGTGGGGTGTCCTGCACCTCTTGCCTCCCCACAAGAGGGATGGGATCCCATCCCTGCACGGCTGCTCCTTTCTGCCCTTGTGCTGCTTCCTTTGCCCGGCCCAGAAATCCATGGCTTGGCTTCAGAGCTGATCTGGATCCCAGCCCTCTGGGCCAGCCTAGTTCTCTGCACACACTCTGGTGTCAGTGCAGTCCTGGGGGGTGCAGGCGTTGGAAGAAGCCAGGCAGGGAGGGACTGACTTGGTTCCTCAGCCCTTTGTTCCTGGGAGGTGAATTCCACCCCCTGATGCGGGGCAGCCTTGACCTGCCCCTCACCCGTGGGGCTGGTTGTTCTCCCTCCCCTCTCCCTGCTGGCTGTGCCAGCTCTGGTGCTCACTGAGCTGCACCAGGAGCCCTGGGCAGGAACCAAATCCAGCCCCTAATGCCCCTGGCTGACACTGGGCTGTTCCTTTGAGCAGCGGGGACACTTGAGCCCGCCCTGCCCTGAGCCCGGCTTTGCAATCTCCCTGGAGCTCCAAGTGCTCCTGACCCTGCAGTCCAGGGAGGGACAGAAACAGCCAAACCCAGGGCAAGGGGCTGCCTTGGCTGGTGGGTTTGGACTCTTTTTTTTTTCTTCCCTAAATGGGACTGAACTGCTGAGGCACCTTCAGGGTGTGCCCTGTCCAGGATCAGCATTTCGGAATCCAACACTCCGGATTTCAGTCTTTGTTCTCCAACGTGCATTTCCAGTAATTTCTTTGCTGACAAACACGATTTCACACAATTTCTCGTTTCTATAGCTTTCTAAAAGCAAAAAGCTATTGTAAAGCTTTCTTAGAGAAAAAGCAAAAAAAAATGGAAGATCCAAGAAAAAGCCTTTTGAGTGGTTCTTGCGCTGTTGTGCGAGTAGAAATATGAGAGTGTTCCTCCACTTCTTCTGTCACTGGAGTTTCTAAAGGTTCTTTCTCTGCTGGAATTGGCTTATTTAAAGTGGTCCTTTAAAATCTTGTCCTTTTAGACTCACAATAGCAGCACTGGGAGAGAAGCTCAACGATTACTGGAATGAAATGAAGAGGAAGAAGAACGAGGAATATCCCTTGGCTCCGCCAGTTGAGGAGATCCAGTGAGTACCAACCACTGCACCAGCCAAGAGCTTTTACATGCTGGTGGTGTTGTTGTTGTTTTACACTCACTGAGGGTGAACCTTTCCTTCTTCCCTCCCAGAAAGCAGCCAGACCAGACGTGGGTGCAGTGCGACGCGTGCCTGAAGTGGCGGAAGCTCCCGGACGGAATCGAGCACTTGCCGGAGAAGTGGTACTGCTCCCTGAACCCTGACCCACAGTTCCGGTAAGGCCACATTCCAGGCAGTGCCTACACCCTGCTCTTGGTTTATCACCTGATGTTAAGCTCTTGTGTGTTTTGGGTTTGTTTTTTTTTTTCTTCTCCTCCCCTTCCTTAACTCAGGAATTGTAACGTGCCCGAGGAGCCGGAAGATGACGATTTGATACATCCGACCTACGAGAAAACGTACAAGAAAAAGTGAGTTCTGGAGACTTTCTTCCAAGGTCTCAACACTATAAACTGCTCAGGAGAGCAGTGCAGCAACTGGGGCTCAAGTCCAGCTCTGAGGAATTCCGTAGGAATTAGCAGTGTGGGAATAGTTTGGGATGTTACAGAAGCAAACTCTGAGGGCTGGTTGGAGACCTTGTCTGTGTAGCTGATACTTTCAAGGTCCACGTTGAAGCAGCTGAATATCTCAGTTTCTTTGTTTAAGAGGATTCTTGGCTGAGGTGTGTGGGGAAAAAAACCTGATTTGAGTAATTTTAATGCTGGCTTATATCTTAGAATTGGGAGTTCAGGATTTTTTTTTCCATTTTTTTAAAAATAAATCTTTATCTGAGAGGGAACTTGTTTGAAGTTAAGCCAACTTCAGGCTATAAGAACTAGGTTCGTGCAGAAGAATTTAATTCAGTAACAATGTTTAATTAGAGCTGTACTGTATCTAGCTGAGATAATTAGGATTGTGTTTGCTTTTAAATGTGGGGGTTGGTCTGGGTTTATAATGAGTGAAGTGTTTGAATCTAAGCTCTTAATTTATTTTTTTTTTTTCCTTGTTGCTGTGCAGAGACAGGGAAAAACTGAGGAAGAGACTGGATTACAGCCACCAGGTAACTCCTGAAGCTGCCTGGAAACTGCCCTGGGGAGAAGTGTCTGGTTTAACATCCTGTTCTGCTGCACAGGATTTGCTCCCCATGAGTAAACCCCAAATGCCCCATCTCTGCTGTCCCATGATGGAAAATCCAGCACTGGAAAGAGGAAGGAATTTGGGAGGGGCAAAGGCCTCTCAGCAAGTAGTGTAGAAAAGATGTCAGTCACTCATAGCTGGATTTATGAAATGACACCTCAGTATTGAAGGGGATTTTGTGTAGAGGGATGTGTTGGGGATATGAAAGCAAAGATGCCCTTAAAAGTGGGGCAGGGGGTGGACAGGGGTGTAGCAGCTACAGCTGTGCAAGGAGGAACTCAAATTCAGATTAAATGCAGATGCAAATCAGTGTGGTCGAGTGATGAGAATGTGTAGATTGCAACCCAGAATTAAATTTTCATGAGTGTGATTTAGCTCAGGTTGCATTCAGAGTAAAGTGCTGACCTAAGACCGCTTCATTTCTGGAGAAGAGATGTCACATGTGCTGTTTTAACTTCACTGTGTTAGTTTTTCTGCCATTACATCTCCCCAAACACACAAGTAATTTCTAGAAGTAAAGTATTGTTCATTTTGGACAAACTGAGTTAATTATGAGCAGCTTCTTTAGCGGGGATGTCTGTCCTGTGGTTTGTGTGTGATGGGCACACTTCAGGCAGAGCTACAGCTTGGGAAAAGCTCTTGTCTGGGATTCTGCACAGGACTCTGAACTGGGAAAACTGGGATTTGCAATGTGGAGTCTAGTTAGGCTTCCTTACTGCAAAATCCTGAGCCTGGGTTCAAGGAGATCCTTGTAATACATAAATGTCAGTCAGAATTTTAGGTGTTGGTGTATAATTAGGAGAATTTAAGTCTATTCTGAAGAACCTACTAATATCTGTTTATTTTCATTCTTAACTTATGTTATCTTATAGATCAATAATGAAATATTTTTAAAAACATCTGTTTCTTCAAGTAAAGACTTCAAAACATTCACAGCTGTGAGTGGAAAGGAAGCTGTTCCAAGGTTGCTTTTACCAAAATCATCAGATGCTCCTATCAGAAGATCTCTGCCTATTTTAATCAAATCAGTCACTTCCCTCCATCCAGACGCTGACAGCAGGTTAGTGCACCTGGACAAAGTAGATTCCTCTGTCTTTCTAAAATTAATAACACTCCACAGGGTGTTTTCCTTAAGCTCTGCTGCTTAAGGAATGGGGGTGTGGGGATGTTCCTGGAAATTCTGAGTCGTTGTTTCACACCAGTGTGTGAAGGTGGTGACTCAGCGTGGGGGTGTCAGGCCCTTGCTTTTACAGGGAAGGGATTCACTCTGGCTTTGCACATCTTAAAATCCCCTGCAGGGGGACATCCCTTTGTAGTTATGGAGTTTTTAACCGTGCTCAGAGAAACACCAGACGTGGTTTGAAAGAAATATTTGTGCGGTTCAGTGATCAGTTCAACGTTTTCCCTTGTCAGCCTCAAGCGGAGGGCGCAGAGCTGTGGGACACCCGTGTCCTTGAAGACACCCCGCCTGAGTGACAGAGCAGCCAACCACCACGATGAGGGCGATGGTGACGATGATGATGATGATGAAGATGTCATCATCTTAGAGGAGAGCAGCACTCCAAAGCCTTCGGCGGATCCCGACGCTCCCGCGGTCAAAACCGAGTGCATCAGTTTGGATCGGGAGGAGAAGCGGAAGGAGACCCGCGAGGTGGGAGAGCTTTGCACTGCGACCACCTCAGAAGCCAGGAGCGAACAGCTGAGCTCAGCGACACAGACGGAGCTGCCAGGCCTGGTGGTTAAAAAGGAAGAGGTGGAAGATGAAATCCCAGTGGAAATTCCCGGGGCAGGGGTGGAAACCGAGCGGCACAAGGTGAACGGTGTTCCCGAGACACCTGCAGAGACTGACAATGAACTGAGAAATCAGCTGCAGTTGTTACACAGAGAGAAGGAAATGTACCAAAACAAATGCGAGGCATTGACCAAACAGGTAGAAACACTGGAGGAGAGGCTTTTGGAAATGAATAATAAGTATGTAAAGAAGGAAATGTGCCACCAGTCAACAGAGACAGTTCCCTCGGGTGAGGAGGAAAGTGCCAACGGGAGGAGCTTGGCAGAAGTGACTGTTCTCTACGAGCAGGCCTTGGGAGAAGTAGCAAAGCTGCAGGAGCAGTGCAATACCCTGCAGAACCTAAAAACTGAGTGCAGCAAATGTGCTGATGGGGAGAGCAAGAGTGAGGTGGAGGAAATGGCCGTGCAGCTGGACAATGTGTTCAGGCAGCTGGACAAGTGCAGCATCGAGAGGGACAGGTACAAAAGTGAGGTATGTGGTTAAAACATTCCTTTATCTCTGGGCTTTACTGCCTGTTTCGTAGCAGCTCCAATGCACAACGTGCTGGACGGGTTTTAGAGCTTTTTCTTTTCTTTTTTGGTGCCAGATTGAACTACTAGAAGTGGAAAAAAACCAAATGGCCTGTCAGTGTGAAGAGCTCAAGGCAGAACTCGCCCAGCTGAAAGCTTCAATTCCACAAGCAGTTGCACATGCAAATGGTTCTACCACCAGTAATGTAGAAGAGACTGTAAATTTTTCTGATGGAGAAAGGTATCAGTTTTGTTCTTTCTAGATGATATTTCAAGGAAGATTTTTTTTTTTTTTTTCCCCTTTGGCTGTTTGATTGTATCTGAAACGTTTTGATGAAGGTTATGTTTGATAATTGTATAATAAAATGTGATGTTTGGAATTCTTTCCTGCTGCCTCGTGTGACTCCGAACTCAGTAATGGATTTTTTTTATCAAGTGGTTTCTGTAACTTATGGTTTGTGTGAGCAGGGTTGGCACAGTAGAAATGCCATACTGATACTTCTTAAAATATCAAAAATGTTCTGTAATTTCTAGACATGACTTGCAGACCGAGGAGAGAAAAGGGAGGCAGGGAAGAGGGTGATGTTTAGCTTATGCTGTGTGTTGTACTTCACTTGTAGAGTCTGATTTTCTTTATTGAAGCAACAGTACTGGACTGAAAAGAGTCTTTGGGTTTGAAATTTAACTTTCCTGGGAGAACTCCTTGCTGCAGGCCAGTCCTGTGGAATTGGGTTGTGTCCAGAGTGTAGCTTTGAACTAAAGCAGGGTTTAAACTTACAAACAGAGAGCTGGCAGCTCTTGGTAAATAGGAACTGCACACACACAGAGGACACAGAGCACATGGAAGCAGGGATGAGCTGAGGGCCCTGAGCCAGGAGATGATCTAAGGGGTGAAGTGACTGAATTAAGGGACCATTTAAACAAATTCCTTCACAGGACCAGATGAGAGGCATCAGAAGGAGCTGGCCCAGGGAGGGAGAGTTGGCCTTGCAGTCTGTCCAAAAGGTTGTGGCAGTTGGCATTCCTGATGCCCAGATTTAGGCACAGGCAGAGCTCCAGCCTGGTCACTGTAGCCTCAGTCCCAGGGAACACTGTGGAACAAATCCACCTGGAAGGCACCTGCAGCCCCATTGTAGTCAAAGGGATTAAGAACAACCAGTTCTTGGAGTGACTGAGGGCAGAGTGTGGATCAAGAGCAAGGCCAGGAGTGGTTAATGCCTTTGCACCTCAAGTCCTGTGTCCAGTTCTGGGCCCTCACTTCCAAAAGGACATTGAGAGGCTGGGGTGTGTCCAAGGAAGGGAGCAGAGCTGGGGAAGGGGCTGGAGCAGCAGGAGCAGCTGAGGGAGCTGAGGAGGCTCAGTCTGGAGAAGAGGAGGCTCAGGGGGGACCTCATTGCTCTCCCCAACTCCCTGACAGGAGGGGGCAGGGAGGGGGGGTCGGGCTCTGCTGCCATGTCCCGAGGGAAAGGAGGAGAGGAAATGGCCTCAAACTGCACCAGGGCAGGTTCAGGTTGGAGATCAGAAAAAATTTTCTCCCTTCAAGAGTGTTCAAGGCCTTGGAATCAGTGTCCCAGGCAGGTGGTGGAGTCCCTGTGTCTGGGAGTGTTCCAGAGGTGTCTGGATGTGGCCCCTGGGGACATGGATTAGGAGTGATTTGGTGGTGCTGGGGTGGGACTGGATGACCCTGCAGGTCTCTTCCCACCCTGATGATTCTGGGATCAATGGTCTGTCTGACAGAGCAAAATGAACTCAATAAATTCACACTGCCATCAAATTGGAGAGAACTCAGGAGGGCAGAGCTGCTGCTGAGGGACCTTGGGAAAACAGGAAAAACGGGCTGAAAAAAAACCCACCTGAAAATTCAACCCAGGCACCTGCAAAGTCCATGCCAGTGAACAAGCTGGAGCCCATTCCTAGGGAAGCAGCTTGGGAGGAGATGCCCTGTGGTGCTGGGGCAGTGGGAGTGGAATGTGAGTCAGCAGTGCACTCTTGTGGTGGGAGAAACCAGTGCTGGCCAGAGTCCAGGCAGCAGGTGGGGAAGGGATTCCTCGCTGTTCCTGGGCTCTGAGACACCAGAGTGCTGGGCCCACTTCTGGGCACCCTGGAGTGACACTGGCAGAGAGGAGCAGGGCTGCTGAAGGGCCACCAAGGTGAGAAGGGCCCAAAGCACCTGAGAGAGAAGGGGAAGCTGAGGGAAAGAGCCTCACAAAGGGTGGGATCTCTTGGAATCCTGTTGCTCTCTCCTGCAGCCCGGTGAGAGCACGTAGGGATGAAGCTTCTCGTGAGCACAGGGAGGGGATGAGAGGCACCAGCCACAAACTGCAACCAGGGAATTCCTGTTGAAATATTAGAGAGAAAAAGCTTTCACAGGGAGGGTAGGGAGGGTAGTCAAGGCCTGGAAAAAGGACATGGGGAAGCTGTGGAATCTCCACCTCAGGACATTCTCAAGAAGGCCCTGAGCACCCTGCTCTGAGTTAGCCCTGCTCTGAATGTTTGGCAGGGGGGGTAGAGAATGAGCTGGAGAATTTCCAGAGTTCCCTTTCAATCTCCAAGAAGAGATTTACCCCCAGGAAAAATGATCTGCCAGCAGCATTTCATTTTTATTTTTCCTTCCAGCACCTGAAACGTGTTTGGTGTTCAGGAGTTGGAAGTAACTTCCCACCAGTTGGTTGGGATATGACAGCACTGTGAAAACTGGTTCCTGGAGGTGATAAAGGATCTGAGGGTGCAAGGAAACGTTGGAGAGAAAGGATGGCTCATTTGAAAGGAATTGGATCAGGAGTAGGAGAGAGCAGGGACATCCAGGAAAGAAAGGAAAAGAGGAGGCAAAGCACTTTGCCTGGGCTGGACCTCTTAACTCCTGTGCAGTTTGAACTGCATCAGTTTTGTGTTGGTTTGTGGGAGTCACACCCAGAGCCTTTCCAGTCCAGCTTTGTCAGATAAAGAACTGACTCTGTGTTTGAACACAAAACTCCCATCTAATCCTCTGGAATTCTTTCTCCCCAGCCTGAAACTCCGCTCTCTGCGAGTGAACGTTGGACAACTTCTGGCCACGATGCTGCCTGACCTGGACCTGCAGCAAGTCAATTATGACATTGATGTCGTGGATGAAATCCTAGGGCAGGTCGTAGAACAAATGCATGAAATCAGTAGTACTTAATATCTTCCCCTTTCAGCAGAGTTTTAGTTGATCTTCCATCATAACCTTCCTGGAGGTTCCAAAATGTATATAAATGCCTGTTCCCCTGGTCTCCAGTTTTATCTCTGAGTGTATGGACTGGGCACGTTTCCATGTTCCCACAGGTGCAGTGGGTGTTCCCTTCGCTCCCTCTTGAAGGAACGCTGTCCATATTGACCAGCCCCCACGTACTGAGTTAAGGGTTTTGCTTTTGAAACGTATTTGTAATTAAATTTGCAAATGTTTATACGATTAGGAATCTTAATACTTTTCTACCGAAGCTTTTTCGTTCACTTTGGCTCTTCCGTGAGCATCAATTAATACTTGTGATTATTTCCTCTACTAAAGTGTCAGTAGTGGAATATCTTAGAGATGCAAAAAAGAACTTCCTTGATGTTCTTCCTGGGCAGAGCTGTTGTGTCCCACAGGATTGTTCCATTGCTCCCAGCAATGTTGGCTGATGCTTTCATGGGATAGAAATGTAAGTAGGGGGTGAAAACGTTACCATCTGGGTAATATTTGAGGTTTAGTACCAAAAGAGGAGCGATTCCTTAAGGGTTTTATCCTGAAAAACTGGTGATGAACTGGTTGAATGGGAGCCCTTGGAAAAGGAGGGATGTTTCCTTCTCTGTGAGGTGAACTACAGAGTGAGCCAGAGCTGAAAAAACATCCAGATGTCACTGGTTTAGACATCTTGGATTATAGGTGAGGTAAGGGAGTCCCTCTTTGCCACATCTCCCCTTTCAGAGTTCTGTGCTCTAAATGTTCCCATTTTTCCATGGTCCTGGGTAAACCTCCTGGAGGAAAGGGTCCCGAGAGCAATGGCTGTTCCAGTGGGGACAGCATTCCCAGCCACTTCCAGGGTTTTCTTCCCAAGGCATCGGCAATGATCAAAGGGGCGGCAAAGACAGCAAGTGCACCTTGGACTCTGTGCTGGGATTTGTCCCCCAGATTCTTTAGAGGGTGCTCAGCCATTGGAATGGGCTGCCCAGGGAAGTGGTGGATTCTCCATCCCTGGAGGTGTTTAAGGACAGACTGGATGTGGCCTCAGTGCCATGGGCTGGGAACCACAGCGGGGTTGGATCAAGGGTTGGACTTGATGATCTCGGAGGTCCCTTCCAGCCCGGCTGGTTCTGTGATTCTGTGACACAGATTCAAGAAAAAGGGTTCTTGCTCTGAAATATAAAAACTAAATCAAAAGAAGAGAAAAAAAAATCAAGTGTTCAAGATGTGAATTCCTAGGAAGTGTCTTTTTTTCCTGAAGCCAACATTTCTGGCCTTGGCACTGCTCCTGTCCTGAGTTCCTCAGCTGATGTTCCCTGGAGCTGCAGTTCAGGGGGTTCCTTTCCAGTGTCTCACTTTTAAGATCTCTGTTCAAATAGGCCAAGAAGGGCAGAGCAGGACTGTTGTACTTTAGGAAGCAGAAAGGGAGGGTTTGGTTTGTGAATGGGTGGCTGTACCAGAACTAGGGAGGACTTTTTAAAAAAAAAGTGTCTATTTTCTGTTCCTTGGTGTGTAGTTTTCCATTTCGTTGTCATTATTTATTCTGTTTCACCAGACTCTGGCTGAATTTCTTGTAGACAACTGGCAACATACAGCACATGTCTATCTTAAAAATGGAAACATTTACAATGTACATTTACACTTTGGAGAAGGGTGGACTAATGGAAATGGCTTTTATTTACTTGTTAAAATGTATTTTTTGTAAAAAATAAAACTATATAAATCTGAGTTTGCAGGATCAAAACTTGTATGTGATCAAAACGCACTGGTTTTGTGTATAAATAAATACTGTGCAGAAAGGCTGACGTTTTGGGTGAAAGATTTGGAGTTTTGGGTGTTGCAGGAGCACGGGCTCAGCCTGGTGTTGAGCAGAGAGTTGGGCACAGCAGGATGGAAACAGGCTGGGAATGCCTTGGATATGTCAAAAGCAGTGCTGTTCTAACCCAGGGGATGCGTGGATTGAGCTGAATGTCAGGAAGTTCCCGGGGTTGATCCATGGATGTGCTCCCATGACTGGGGTAACAACCCCCTTTGTGCCCCCTCCGGAGCTAAAACCCCCTTTGTCCCCCCCTCGGGTAACAACCCCTGTGGAACCCAAACGATGCCAGGAAGGGGTGGGACAGAGGCACCGCTGCTGCTCCCCTGAGCCCTGGGACCCCCAAACCCGCTCCCCTGAGCCCTGGGACCCCCAAAACCTGCTCCCCACACCCTGGGACCCCAAAACCCACTCCCCTGAGCCCTAAACCTGCTACCCACACCCCGGGACCCACAAAACCCGCTCCCCACACCCCGAGGACCTCCAAACCCAGTCCCCTGAGCCCCGGGACACCAAACCCGCTCCTCACACCCCAGGACCCCCAAACCCGCTCCCCTGAGCCCCGGGACACCCAAAACCCTCTCCTCACACCCTGAGACCCCCAAACCTGCTCCCCTGAGCCCCAGGACCCCCAAATCCACTCCTCTGAGCCCCGGGACCCCCAAACCCGCTCCCCACAGCCCGAGACCCCCAAACCCTCTCCCCTGAGCCCCGGGACCCCCAAA